GAACCCCCCGGTCCACGAGAGAGAGAGAGAATTCTCTCTCTCTCTCTCTCTCTCTCTCTCTCTCTCTCCCAACGAGATTCGTAAAGGGGCCCCTGGCAGAGCGTGGCGAGGCGAGCTCCTCTCGCCCGTCCTCTCGCCCGCTCAGCACCGCTGGTCTCTCTCGAAGAGCCACGTTATGCCGCCCAGCGACCTCTTGAGGCTGCCTGTCGACGAGCTCCGCTCCTCGCGCCTCGCCGAGCTCCTCGCGAGCATCGACGCCGCCGACGCCGCCGACGCGCCTCTACTGACGCTGCTGTTCGACAAGGCCTTCAGCGGCGACGCCGGCCTCCAGCTCCTCCGTTCGGCGGCGGTGCAAGAGGCGCTCCGCGCGACGGCGCTCGTGCACGCCGACGACGCAATCCGTTCCTTTGCGCTCGTGCACTGCAAGCGGCTCGCGGCGGCGGCGGCCGACGTCTCCCTCCTCGGCGCGAGCGGGGTGCTGCAGCAGATTGCCGTGCTCGTCTCAGACGCGTCGCTCGGCGTGTCGCAGCGGGCGGTGGGGTTCTTCGTCGCCTGCGCGGCGAGCGCCGGCGCCCTCCGCGCCGTCCTCGACCACGCTCCCTCTCGCACCGCGCTCCTCGCCCCCTGCGCCGCCGCCGCCGCCGACCCAGCCGGCGGCGTTCCCGCCCTCGCGCTGCGCACGCTCGCGCTCTTCGGTGAGATCGCCGCGATTGGCGACGCGCAGTGCGCCATGTGCGAGGAGAGCGGCGCGCTCGACCTCGCTCTCGCGGCATGGAGAGGCTCCGACGAGCTGGTCCGACTCAACGCGCTGGAGGTGTTTGCCCTTCTGGCGCGCGTGCCCCGCGGCCTGCACTGGCTCGAGGCGCACGGCGTCGTGGACGACCTGCTCGCGCAGGCGCGCGGCGCTGAGGCCGACGGTGACGCGCCGATGGCAGAGGTGCAGCTCCCCTCCGTCTTCCACTGCCTCGCCGAGCTACTCGAAGCGGGAGGCGACGCCGCCGTCGATAAGGCGCTCTCTCCCCACCTCTCCCCATCTCTCCCCATCTCTCCCCATCTCTCCCCACCGCTCCCCCCATCTCCCCATCTCTCCCCACCGCTCCCCATCTCTCCCCATATCTCCCCATCTCTCCCCACATCTCCGCCGACTTGACCCCTCCCACACCTTGACAAGGCGCTCTCCTCTGGCGGACTGCTCGGCCCGCTCTGGCGGCAGCTCGAGCCGGCCGGAGGTGGCGCGCGCGACGCGGCACTGGCGGCGGTGCGCGGCGCGGCGTGCTCGCGGCGGGGCTGCATTCTCGTGCTGCGGCAGACGGCGAGCGGCGGCGCGGCGGACCCGTTGGCGAGGCTGCTGCGCTCGAGCGACGCGCGGGCAAAGGTGGGCGCCTTTGCGGTGGCCGCGCAGCTCTGCAGCTCTTGCGCTCGATTCGCGGCGGACGGCGAGGTGGCGAGCGTGCAGCCGGCTCTGCGTGCGCTCATCGCCGCCGTCTCCCCCTCGGCGGGCACCGCACCCGGCGACGCCCTCGCCGCGCTGGTCGCGCTGCCGGCTGAGGAGCCCCCCGCGTCGCGGACAAGGGCACCTCTCCCCAGATCTCCCCCCATCTCCCCGCCTCCTTTCGACAGGAGCTGCGCGTCGCGGCGCTGCGGCTGCTGCTCGGCCTCGCGCAGCTTGAGTGGGGCGCGGGAGATGGGGCGATATGGGGAGAGACGGGGAGAGACGGGGAGATATGGGGAGAGGTGCCCATGTCCGCGACGCGGGGGGCTCCTCAGCCGGCAGCGCGACCAGCGCGGCGAGGGCGTCGCCGGGTGCGGTGCCCGCCGAGGGGGAGACGGCGGCGATGAGCGCACGCAGAGCCGGCTGCACGCTCGCCACCTCGTCGTCTGCCGCGAATCGAGCGCAAGAGCTGCAGAGCTGC